TTTGATGACCATCCAGATGTGCTCAAGAGCTAGACTTGGGAATGTGTGAGCACAGGTAGGTGAATGCTTGCAAGCCTGGCAGAAGTTTTGGAAGTTACTGCTTTCTCCATGGAGATAGAATTGAACATACTTGGTCTCCTTGTCCCAGGTGAATTACTAGGCACTAACTCTTAGGCAATCCAAGGTGACCACAGTTCTTGTTTGAACTTGCCCTAAATACACAGTGTCTGTGCTGAACTTGGATCTGAGGATGAATAACCAGTTGTTCAGGAAAGGGACTGTTGGGCATCATGCTGGGCCCTGGTAAATGCTTGATAATTTGAGTTAGCAGCCTGTCCTCTATCAGCTGTGTTCTGTGTGTTCACAGCAGACAGCTTCACATTTATTACGTGGCCTAGAGCTTGATCAGGCTGGGCATGAGAACAAAATACACCCTGAAGGTTTGTAAGAAGCAAGTTTCTGAGGCTAATGGAATTATCAGCTGTTTGAGCATCACAGTTGTGATGTACTGTTCATACCACAGCATATATCTGTATTTAGGGTTACATAAATAATATGATTAGTTGTATATTTGCGTGGTAATGTATGTTGTCTTTTAAACTGGAAAAAATCGTCTCTGTCATCTTGAAGAATAGTTTTCTAAGAAATCTCTATTCCTTTTGAATCTGATGATAGTAAATCTGCTTTTTTAAATTTATGTGCAATAGAAGTTATGAATGCTATATTAAAAAAACTCAAATGCACACACACACAAAAAAGTAAACTAGGAAATCCTTGGTAATATGTTTAGTTCATGTCCAAGTGTGTTGTGTTTTCTGAGGTAAGCATTAACTTGAGAAGGTAACCTTCTTTAAAGTTTTATTACAACAGATTGCTTTTATTAATGCTGGACTGAAGTGGAAAAAATTGGGTTTTAGGAGAGACATGAATACTGTCAAATACACCTTTTCGCTGTTTTTTTTCAGGTATAGTCTGTCATATATTCCTTTTGCAAGGTGAGTCTGCATAATTACCTCCATCTTAGCAAAATTCAGTTATCTTTATGCTAGGAAGGGGGAAAAAGTCCTTAAATTCAGTATGTGAAAAGACATAACTTCCTTTCATTTTAATTTTTAGAAAATGACATAGCTGAACTCAAAAGTAATGCTTAATATAAGCTTTAAATGCAAGTAAAGTGCATAGTAATTCTCTTTGTTAAATCTCTTTTCTGGTTTTCATCACTGAAAATAAATTGAGTTTTTGTTTAAATTTTCCAGTGATTTAAAAATGCATTGGTGCAGTAGTGACGTTTCCAGTACTTACATTAAAGATAACTTACAGATCTGAGGTCTGAGTTAAAAGCAAACAAACAAGCATAGGTTCAGTTGCTAAGTCTACTTCTGAATTCCTCCATCATTTTTAGGAGAGGCAAAGTCACTGCTTTGTGTTAATTTTCATTTTGGCAAGCTTCTCTCTCTTTTCACTCTTGTGTGTATAAAAAGGGAGTGAAAGTTAGCCAAACACATCATGAAACCACATGCAAGTAAACAAAATGAAAAATATTAAAAATCTGGTTTTTTCTGTAACGTGTCATTTAAAATGCAGTTTGGTCTTTCAGCAGTGTTGTTTTTTTTTTTAAATAAAGTGCTTTCATGTGTATATATTACTTAATGAGGTTTTCTGTAGTGAAAGTGGGAGAAAAAAGAATACAAAGTATTGTCTGTGCCTTTCATCTGAGAAAACTCTGTACTACAGATTTTTATTTTTTAAAGCTTTAGTTTTGATATAGGGAGGATTAAGCTGTATATATAAAAAAAAAAGATAACTAGTTGATAATTACAATGGATTAGGTACTTTAACTGAACTCAGGCTTCAAATTGTCATTTTAGTATTTCTGACATCTCAGGCTAAGCCAGTCAAAACTAGTATCTGAATTCTTATAGTTCCTGTGGCCATGTGAAAGTCGCAGTAAGGTCATTCCTTTTTTTTTTTTTCCTGATTTTTTGTTTATAAATGTTCTGCTCTGCACAGAAAACAAGTTGAGCTACTGGCCACTGATCTTTTCATCCCTACCAACAGTACTTCAATGTTTTCCTGACCAGAACTTAGGTTATATGCATCACTTAATTTTTTTTTTATTAGATTTTATGAGCCAAAGAACTGAATTTTACACAGGCTGCTTTTATTAGTACAGTGATTTCTTTAGGGATTATTGAGTTATTTGCTTGTGTGGAATGCTATCATAAATTTCTTGTATAGGCTGCCTTTTTTACTGAAACAGTGATCTAAACAATATTAAGTTTAGATCTAAACTTGTATTAAGCCAGAGAACAGTATTATGTAATTTGTTTAAAGTATGCATTTGTCTTGATTTCAACAAAATTATCATTCCTTGATTTAGCTCTGTTAATGGTCTACTCTTAACAACAATATACTTTTTCGTGTTTGTGGGATTTTTTTTCAATTAATGGTGGCTCTCCTGCTGGCATAGCAAAAAAACAACCAAACAAAAAACCCCCCATAAAACAACACCAAAATCCAACAAAACCAAACCCCCTAAAACCCAAAACAACAGCAACAAAACCCATACATACAGTGACTTTGAGTCATGATAGTATTTTTCTTCATTTTTCAAACTAACAACAGAATACAAATTCCACTCAGTAAGTTGTTATGTTTTTGAGAAAGTGCAAAATAGAGGAGACTAAAGTGAGTGATCTAAGTAAAATAGTCAAAAACCAGTTTGTTTATTGTCATTTAAAGAAGCAGACCCCTTCAGATCTTTCACACCTTAAGGCTGAGCCAGCTCATCACCCTGCATTGTTAGTACACCCACTTTAAACCCTTCAGCCCAGGCTTTTTTTCCCTGCAGCGTGATGGTCCAACTCACATGTGGCTTGGACTCAAAAGCACCTGTGCTTTGCTGGTTGTCTGGATTTGGCATGCTCCTCAGCCCTGCCCTTGCTGGCCAGCCTTTGCAGAATAAGGCTCTGACCATTGCTGGGCCACCAAGTGTGCTGCAGAACGATTTTTAACACTGTTGTCTGCATTTTAGCGTGTGCCTGAGTGTAGACAGGGTGGAAGATTTGGACAATATGGGCAGGCTTGAGCCTTTGCTTTAGCTGGTGCTATAGATGTACTAAAGGTAATGAGGGCTGTTAAGATCCTGCATTTGATAAACTATTCATTTTTGTCTTTCTGTAATATTTTAAATGCATAATGGTTGATATGTATGTAAAGAAAATAACAAATAACTGACTTTTTTTTTTCTTTTTAAAGGGATGCCGTGATTAAATGCTTCTCGTCCTGTCTAGGGTAAATTTAAAACCAGGAGCCACTGTATGCTTTAAAAGCCAACGTCTATTCCTCTGTGAATTTTGCTCGGAAAACTATACTTTTCCACTCATAAAATACCCAGTAACAATTTAGTATTTTCCTTGCCTTTTGCATTTGGGGGATTAAATAATTTTTACTAGAAACAGTTTTAAAAATAAAGTGGGTGAGCTGTTTGTATTTACCTTGGAACTTTTAGGCTTTTTTAACAAAAAACCCACAATGTGTACATCTTACGCAGAGTAGTCTTAAAACTACCTTGCATCCAGTAACACAGTTTATTCCCCAGTGGAGGCAGGCCACTAAGATCTGGGTAGTATGCATAAAGATTTCATTTAGAGTTCTGACTAAAATTTGCAGTGGGCTGTTTTTGTTTGTATATTATTCATCGTATGCTTTTCCAAAGACAGTTTTATAAACGTTGTAAAGATTTGGTAAGTTATACTTAACGGGTCCTTTGAAATGTCTATACACGTGCCTTACGGAAAAAGCTTAATGAGACTGTGTGAAAGGTCTGTTTAAAGCTTGTTGGATTTTGATTGGTGTGTTGGACTAGAGGGGTATAAACTGTTCAGGAAGGACAGGCAGGGGAGACGAGAAGCGGGTGTTGCCCTCTATGTCAATGAACAGCTAGAATGCATGGAGCTCCACCTGGCAAGTGATGACGAAAGAACCGAGTGCCTGTGGGCCAGGGTGAAAGGAAGGGTAGGAGACTTTACAGTGGGAGTCTGCTACAGACCACCCAATCAGGAGGACCAAGTGGATGAGGCCCTACATAGGCAGATAGGAGTTGCTGCTCGTTCACAAGCCCTGGTCCTCATGGGGGATTTTAACCACCCTGATATCAGGTGGAAAAACAACATGGCAGGGAACAAGCAATCCAGGGGATTCCTGGAATGCATTAACGATAACTTCCCTATCCAAGTGATATAGGAACCAACGAGGAGAGGTGCCATGTTAGACCTTGTTCTCGTCAGTAGGGAAGGGCTGGTAGGTAATGTTGAACTCATGGGTAGCCTTGGCTGCAGTGACCATGAGATGGTGGAGTTTGAGATCCTAAGGGCAGCTAAGAGGGGGAAGCTCAGCAAGCTTGAAACCCTTGATTTCAGAAGAGCTGACTTTCGCCGCTTCAGGAACCTCCTTGGTAGTGTGCCATGGGATAAAGCCCTGGAAGGACTGGGAGCCCAAGATTGCTGGTTGACTTTCAAAGATCATCTCCTCCAAGTTCAAAGGCATTGCATCCCTAAAAGGAAGAAGCCAGGCAAAAACACCAGGAGACCTATATGGATAAACAAAGAACTCCTGGCTAAAATCAAATACAAAAGGGGAATACACAAAGCATGTAACTGGTAACCTGGGATAAGTATAAGGAAGTTGTTCGTGTACTCAGAGACCAGGTTAGAAAAGCTAAGGACCTGACAGAGTCAAATCTGGCCAGCAATATTAGAAATAACAGAAAAGGATTTTATAGGTATGTGAGAGAAAAAAGGAAAACGAGAGAGAATGTGGGGCCTCTCC